CTCCAGATCGTAGTAATAAATTTTTAACCATGCTTACATGTGCAAATTAGCAATGAATACAAATATTAACAAAGCTTTATTGACAGACACGTGTGACAACCTTCTATTCAGTTGCAAGCGTGGCAAGAAAGTAAAGAAACGTTCACCGAAAAAAAATCGTCGATTTTTTGTTGGCTTATAAAGAGCTATAAGAGTGATGACACGGGCTCGACGTTTGAAAGTCTTTCAAATTAAACTTGACTTTGCTATCTTTTAGCTCTAAGTAATAAAATAGAGGCAGGGAAACTCTCCAAAGAGTACTGACAGAAAGACAAAACAATACGCACACACGCACACGTGTGTTTTACACGACCTGGCTCTGATCGTAGTTGTTTAATTAACTTTTTAGATATTCTTATTTTTCCTAAAAAAAAATGCGATTTTATAAAACGAAGAGGGCTTAAGTGAAAGAAATAAATTTCTCCAGTAGTTGTATCTTCATTTACTCATTGAAGGCCAATGCTAAAATAAGTGAAAGCTCGTCAACTTCACTTTTTATGTCACGGTAAGAAATAACAGCTTAGCTTGCAAATATTAAATGAGAGCAGTGCAAGAGGACTTGTTTCCACCTCCAACTTCTTTTAAATTTTGAAATTTACAAATTCCGGGTCGGAAGTGAAACAAAATGAAAAGACGCAGGAGAGCGCAGACAGAGTTATGAATTACACCAAGAGATTGTGGACACTAATTTGTATGTTTCACAGTGTTCAACCTTTCTGAGCTTCTAGATTAAGTTATACACTTTTTCATCAGGAACACTCATGAGTTATTTTGAAATTTATTTCAGAATAAAAATCTATATACAGATTTACTCATAATTATATCCAGATAAATGCTCAATTCAGAGTTTCCCTAAGTTTGACCGGTTTTAGTCCGTCATCGACGGCAGTTTACCATCATTGTTCACACGCGGACACAGTTAGTGTGTCATTTGACTCAGTGGCGTACCTTTTTGCTCACTTAAACTGCATGCAATTTTATCCGACAACCCAGGTACTAATATTCTTGGTCGTGCCATCGGACACTCAGAAGTCGCCACGTCTTTTCAGTTACTTCCTGTTGTCTGTCGTGTCATTTTACTGTACCCGTACGCTCTCCTAATTATACTTTTTCTCGTGGAGAGTCACACAGCATTTCCAGACACATCAAAGCCGATCAAATGGAAGCAACGTCTTAGCCACCACGAACATGCCAAACTAGCATGAACATAAACTTAAGGATATTTGCCGTAGCAGTCAATCTTCAAGTTTTCATGTTATCAAAGGCGTCTTTCCTCGCGGCCCGGGCGATTTTCAAGTTTCGGGAGGTTCTTGCATGTTACTACAATTGGTACCCACAATTAATATACCTTTGGTTAGATAACTATAATGCCTTGTCCCTGGGAGAACGATTGATTCAAAGGATGTAAAGATCCATGGGAAAAGGAAAGTCATGTAACGACAAATAAACGCACTCGCTGATTGCAGAAAGAAGGATCAGTTTGAGTCTCAACAGTCAATAACAGTGTTTGCAGTAATCGCAATCGCTAGACGATAAACATACGCAAGTATATTTTTGTTATCTTTATTTAAACAACAATCACGTGGGGCTAGATCATTAGTTTTCGGTGTTTAATTTACACATCCCAACCTGTTTTTATGTCATCAATGGACAGTAAACATTTTTGTTTCATTTAATTCATATGTTCTGAAAAATTATTAAATTAACAGCTTTGACGAAACTTCGTTTATCATTCTGCATCACAAATTCCAGCTCAGCAACCCACGCGTTTTGCAGCGTCACACAAACGGCGCTTCATAAAGGCACTTTCAGTATCGTCCTGTAAATACGGAGTGAGAAAGTAAAAAGAAAAATGGAAAACATATCAAATGAGATGAACATGTTCAATAGTTAGGGAATTATATACACCTGCCAAAAAATAGAAAAGAAGAAAAAGACCCCGCTAACAGTAAATATATGACTCTGAACTAACTCGAAGAGCTACAAATATGACAAGGATATTTATTCGTGGTGTGAACTTTACTTTTCTCGGATAAAATAAACCTAGACAACTGACTTCATTTCATCAGGGCTTTTGAAACACCCCGGCATAACATGACTTTTCCCTTGTGTTAAATGAATAAAGGAAAGGGTTAGCCCATACGAAACTTTGCAGTATACGCACATACGTACATGAAAGTTGATCTTCCGCGAACGTTCAACTTTGCGACCACAACGTCCTGGGGGAAGGCCCATACACGCTCCGTTTAGGGAGGCATGAGATCCAGGAGAAAACAGCATTACAAGGAAAAGAAAACAAAGGAGACAGGAAAACAATTTGACTGCCATTCTGTCCTCGGATACTTTTCGATCAGTAAGGATCTGTTTCGGGTTGCTGCTGTGAAATGCTTGTAGGCCGCTTATTTTATATCTCAAATAGGCTGAAACGACTTTAAATTATTTAAGAAAAGTGACAGAAGTCTTTTATCAAGCGGTCTACTAAGTAGAAAAAAAGACTAGAAAGCAATCAAACTGTCCGTGAAAATGAAAATAGTTGGCTTTACCCTTTTCATAAGGATTAATAAAGAGTGGCACACAATGGGTGCTCACTAATTAAATATATGGATTTAATTGTAGCATTATTTACTGGTTATAAATTTAGGTATTAAGTCCTCGGGTATCAATTACGTCCTTTTAGTTTAAAAGATGTACCCATTTAAAGGAAAATATATAAAAAAAAATTCATCATGATACTTAGTAAACTCGATTGACTGCACACGTCTTTGAAACCGTCAACCGATAGAAGATGTCACTTAAAATGTTTCATAGTTATTCCACTATCATTGTTATTGTTATTGTTATTTTCATTTTTTCACTATCTTTTCATTTTTTTATTGATCTGTACTTTGGATCAGAACCGACAATGTCTTAACACTCGTTTATCAGATTTCAAATTCGAAGGAGTATCATAAGTTTAGTCATGAACCAACATGCCCCAATACTGTCAGTCAAACTAGGTAAGAAAGTTTAAAAGATCTTGCAAAAACGATTATTATTTTCTTTCCCTTGCTAAGTATTTTTGAACTCTTACTTTACTGATGTAAATTTAAGAAAATTTGATAGAAGTCGATGAGAATCGACTCCCACATTGAAGATGATCCATATGAGCGTCAATACTTAGCAATCGAGCGTAGATATCATTTTCACGTGAACGTAAGATAATCCATTCTAACCAACTCAAATTAGCCGCAAATTAGTGAGTTTTTAGCTTCTCTCTTGAGTAGTAAGAGTAAATAAACCTGGCCCTATCCTTAAAAAGAGTAACCATCCACCCGCTACAGATGCAATATGTTTTAAAAAAAAGCTGCTGACGGAGCCATCACAGTGAGATGGAAAAAAGGAGGAAAAAAAATCAAAGAAAGTTTTGGAGGAATTTTCAGCTTGCCTAAGGTGAAATATCAAGCCATGGCTCAGATAGTTTCTTCAAAATTATTCCGCCCAACGTATTTTAAAACGCTGCGTTTCAGTGCGGACAGATGAAAATGAAGGCTATTGAAAACGATGACGAACAAATTAACAGATTTGATCTGTTCCAGTCTTAAGATGGTGTATAACCTTATGATGTTTTCCTTACTGTTTATAAGCTTTGTTCAATGTCTTCAGCTAGACATAGCCTTGTACAATTCGCGAGCCAACTTCAGAAGAAGAATAGGGATCATGCAAAGATTGGTATTATTTTCAATCCCATGTCCCACTTTGTGTTGAAAATTGAGGACCCCGCGAAATCATTGGTGTGGTGAGAAATACTTTGCTTCACTTTCGCCTACATGAAAACGAAGACTTTTGAAAACGTATAAGTGTGGCCATGGTTCATTCATGTATAGCCTATTTCAAAAAAGCGCCTTATACTTATTTCCGGTTTAGTGACGTTTCCAGGGCAACAACTACTTTGTTTTCAAAGGCAATTGTTGCCGTAATTGACCTCAAACTTTAGTCTACAATTCTAGTCTAGGTGTATTTAACTCTCCAGGGTTAGCCAACAAAACATTTATTAGTTTAATGGCCGAGCAGTTTGGAGATTCAGCTAATGATTTGAAGTACCGGGTAGTCAATCTCGGTTGACATATATTCCGACTTCTTTCACCGCCTCTATCTCTAATTCATTTGTTAGTGCATATGATTATTAATTTTTATTTGTAACTACGTGATTTTGCTGCCAGCTGAAGTCAGATAACTTCTGAAGATTTCGAAATATCTTTAACGATTTTCGCTATACCAGTACCAAATCACCAGTCAAGGCTCGAGATATTTTTTGTTTTGATAGCAATATAATTGTCTTTTTATGAAATTATCTAAAATGTTAATTTCGTGTATGATGTTCTGGTGCCTAAAACTGGTTTGGCTTTTTACTATAATCAGTCATAAACAGCCACTGATTAATAAAGTTTTATAAGTGTTACTTTCATCCCTAAGCCTACCGTAAGAATTCTATCCCGCTACATAGGAGGAAAATATGCTCAGTAGAGCTCTGAAATGCTCCTCTGAGAACTAATTGCTACATAAATTTGCCTGTCTCGCGCTCTTCAAGAGACAAAAGAAATATGTTTTGAATGATAAAACCAGCACACTCAAATGATGATTAATCCATCCTTGCGTAGCACCGCGTACTGAAAAAAATTAATCGAGAGCGAAGAAAGTTTTATTGCATCTTCTCGTCCTTTAAATGTATGCCAACCTCCCTTTATCGTTTAAGAAGGAAAAAGCGAAATGAATTCAGGTTTTATTCAAAGACAAAACCCCGAATTATTCCTTCCTATATTGTTATTCTAATGATGAGGTAATAAACGCGTGAAAAAACTCGACAAGGGCGACAATTCATCGCACCTTCTATGAATCTTGGTTGAGTTTCGATCTTGCGTCATAATCGCACTGTCACGGTTAGAGATTCGTTCTGCCAACAGTTATCGCCAGTTTGTTTCACAATGAAACATCTCACCACGAAAAACGTTCGCCTTTACTTCTTTACTGCCTTTTTTATCTGTTTGGCCTTCCGTTGCCTCCTGGGTATGGACAAAACCACGCGAAGTTTCAGTCGCGGACAGAGAGCGTTTAAAGATAACACCACGGGTTTGCCAGACGTCCTCAAGCGATTGAAATCCTTGGAAGAAAAGTAAGACTTGGAGATTGCTTAAGAACCGAGTTTGAATCATTGCACCTGAAAACGCGAGCGGCAAAATTCAACTCCGTTCCTGTTCTTCCAACCCGCGCATTCCACAGAAAAAACAAACAAGCAAACAAAAAACCAAAAAGAAACCTCTAATTCACAACAAATACAGAATTAAATTATTACCAAAACGGTTGGAAGGCAGACGGCAAAATTTGAATTCTAATGCGCACTTTCTACGGCTATAACGAACCGTAAACCACCGGTGTCAGTATCATAGTAGGACGAAATGAACGAAAAGATGTTCTTCAAATTTGGGAAGTTATGATCGATTCGATGATGGGAATTATTGCATTACCGTTTAGATAAGGACATACAGTATCTCCTTTATAGAAACGTTTTTAAATCAATTGATGGCATGACAAAACAAGGCGTAGGAAAGGATTTCTTAGAAGCCTTTTTCAGTCTCGATAGCCTCGAATTGCAAAAAATTGATTTAACTTAAGCGTTCATTCAAAAATGCCCATAAAAATTTAACTTGACACACTATTAGCCTTTATATATCTCCTGCATTATTTGCCTTTATTTTAAACCAGCGTTTACACTAAGATACCCGAGAAAAATAAACTAGATAGAATGTTATAATTTTCTTTCATTCTGTATTAATTCAGGTCATCGCATAATCATTCTTATAGTGTTTTAAATAATTGCTTGAAGGATGAAAGAATTTTACTTCTAGAATTCAGTTCGTGTTCGATGTCAAACACCAATCCTAAAATTGAAATATCTTAAGGAGGTTCCATAGAGTTTTTGCTAAATGTTGGCACACGCGCCAGCGTCATGTTTTTCTAAAAAAAAAATTATGTTTTCACTTTTCAAGGTCACTAACAACTATCAAAAGGCAATGAGCAAGGTTCGGACTATCGTTTGCTGTAGTAAATATTATAAAATTAAGCTAAGGCTCCACGAAGGGAGACGCTCGCCAGCGATAATTTGGGTTTGCTTTTGATTTTCTTCAATTTGCTTTAATGAAATATCTCAAAATTTTCACAATTAGTGAAAATTTTCCTGCCGATCATTTAAAAACAGAAAAAAAGGGGTTACAAAGGCAGTCTCCTCGCTATTTGCAATTTTGATAACTGACTCTTATTGTCAGCTTCATGATTGTTCGTGAACCGATGATTTCAGCTGATGATAATTTTTCGAGGTTATTTAAGAGGCTTTACTTAATGATGCCATCAGAACCTGATGATATTTAATATCAGATTTTCTTCTCTACAAATTTCGTCCAAATTAGTCTACTTTTTACTGTGACTATTTTTAATTTTTTTTTTTTTTTTTTGCACAGGATAGATGCGTTACTGAAACCAAGACTTCAAGACTCGTGGTTTTTGGCCTACCTTTTAGGTTTGAATAATAACGGATCCTTTGGCTTTGTGTAAAGTATTCGAATTAATAGCGTGCAAGATAAGCTGTTCGCGAAGTATCGCAGAAAGTTAGGGCTTCGTTCAGGGAAAAAGAGGCGTTTTGGAAATTAAATACATTATTTTTCCAGCAATGCTAATCTTAATCTTAAAAGATTATCTGCGAAATACTATTTAAGATAGAAACTGCAGGTTTGTGATGGCTCAACGCTACTTACTGAATTTATTAAAGATTGACAATTATGAAAGGCCAACCAGAGATCGTCAGTTTGAGGCAAGAGGATACAAACAAAAATAAACACAAAGTATAAACACCTACAAAGAAATAAACAGAGATGGTGAGCCCATAATTAGAAAAGAAAAACTTGTTCAAAAAGGTGGGAAAGGATCAAAATATACCATTGTACAATCAGTCGGTTAATGACAGACAGAAAGACAGAAGTATTGAGGCTTAAGTGAGTCAAACAGATAGGAGACCAAATGAAGTAATATAATGAAAAATTTAGTAAACAGAGATGCAGAGAGACTCTTGAAATGACAAAGGGTGAGCAGTGTTGAAATCATTTACGGAAAATAGTTTCTATTTAAAACCGGCAAGCCGTACTGAGTTTCAGTGTGTTATTTTAATGTGTAGTACGATATATGTCGCTATATCGTAGGGGTTCATGGGAGAAGTAACATGAAAGGCTTAATGGGACCACCTGGGCCACCTGGACTTCCTGGAAAACCTGGACGAATCGGAGAAAAAGGTGAGCTATTGAGGAAAACCAAAGACTAAAACTAAAGAAGAGAAGCATATCAGTAGCTGAGCAATTTGTTTTAATCATGATAATGATCATAATAATAATGATTATGATAATGGTGGAGGCAACATGACAATTTTACCTCTGAATAAGATGAGTTGATTAAAGTGAGAACTGAAAAAAAATATTGAACAGGAAAAAATCTCCATTTGTTTACAATGTCAATCATTTTATGCTGCAAATGGTTGTAACGAAGAATATTCCTAACGTACAATATGAAAGTGGTATGAGGCTCATAATGATAAAATATGTTCAGCAGATTCAAGCGATCATCTTCGAAGGTGCTCATTTAAAATGTTCCATTTAGTTTATTACAAAGCAAACAAATATCTCCAACCAAAAAGCCGACGTTTCAATTAAATTTTTTGACAGGAGAAGATGGAAAACCAGGAACCATAAAATCTGTTCCAGGCTCTCCAGGTCCTAAGGGGGAACGTGGAGCACGTGGAAGTCCTGGAACCCAAGGGGCTAAAGGAGAGAAAGGGCAACCTGGGAGGTCCGGGGTGAAGTATGTTCGCTGGGGAAGAACCACGTGTCCCAGTGGTGCTCAGATTGTCTACAAAGGTAAGGGTCATTAAATAACTAGAATTGCACGTCAGTTTCAAGAGGTTGAGAAGTACACTACTCAATTTTATGACGTAGTAGCGTCATAATCATGCGTCACATTCGAAATTCCCGATCGAAGGGTTTTTTCCCCCTATATAAACGGATTTAAGGTACCAGAATGCCTTACTAAATCGTTATTTCACTGAGTGCAACACCAGTGAGTGTTGATGAAAGATGAATCTTTTTTTTACAAAACTTTAGTGCTCCCAAATAGTCGAGTAACATACCAGAGTTCCCTTTTTATTGAATCTTGCTTTTATAAGTCGAGAAACAAGGGTCATCAACAATTTTCATTTTAGGATTGATAGGTGGCGAACGTTACAATCATCAAGGCGGTGGAGTAAACTATCTCTGTCTTCCAAGCAGCCCAAAGTATGACAAGTACAAAGATGGACGTCAGAACGCGGGATTCGTGTATGGAACTGAGTATGAAGTAAATTCTTTCAACCCTTTTACGAAATCCCTCGATGACCACGATGCACCGTGCGTTGTATGTTTTGTCAGGTCACGTGCCTCAATGCTTATGATGCCTGCAAGGAATGATTGTCCATCTGGGTGGACCGAGGAGTATCATGGGTACTTGATGACTGCATACTACGACCACAAGAAGCAGCGCGACTACGTATGTGTTGACAAGGACGCAGAGGCTCGCCCAGGTACGGCGGTAAGCAAAGATGGTGCATTACTGTACCCCGTGGAAGGTGTTTGTGGTTCACTCCCGTGTCATCCATATGTCGCCGGCAGAGAGTTGACCTGCGCTGTATGCACCAAGTAACAGGAGGGCAGATTCCTCTTGTTCACAAGCGGACATTATTAAACCTTGGGGTCTTGATTCTAGAGACTGTAGCGATTATTTTGTCAAAGAAAAGGTATTTGTACTGAGTTGTAGGAATAAAAGGTAAAAAGCGATGGCTAAATTTTAATGAGTCCTTAAACCATGGCACTTGTATGTCTTTTGCCTTGTCAGCAGTTTGCCTCTATTACCTCTGATTTCTCTCTAACTCTGCCAACCAGCTGTTGAACTTGTCTACGGCCCAAGCCTATTCCATACCCATAGGCGTACGGGCCGGGGGGGCGGGGGGGGCTGCAGCCCCCCCAAAATTTTGGGCAATTCAGATTTTTTGGGCAGCAAGAGAAATTTGGGCAAAGCCAGTTTTTAAAGATGTTTTCAAGTTTTTTATTGAAATAGATAGATATTTTCTATTTTTACCTGAATTTAAAAATGGAAAGCCAGTTAAATTCACACGAGAAAGCGGTTGCCTAGCACGTGACGAGCTTCTGGTCATTAGTAAGGGGGGGTTATAAGTTGATATACGTATTTCTATTTTTTGTGTTTGTTCTTGGGCATTGTACTGTACTGTACCGCACTGCACTAGCTGGTGTTGTAAATTAATTAGAATCAATTTCCGCATAGCTTTGTAAAATAATATCGTAGATTATCGACTGGAGACTCTCAGAAGATCGGAGTCACGTGCTAGGCAACCACTGTCTCGTGTGAATTTAACTGGCTCTACCATGGGCTTTAAGTGCCTAAAGCCAGTTAAATTTACGCCCGTAGTTTCGTAAAAAGTTACGCGACCGTGGAAACTGTTAAATTCACACGAGACAGCGGTTGCCTAGCACGTGACGAGCTTTTTTGTACACTATACATACCAAAAAGTTCGGTATCTACGTCCACTGTTACGGGCATGTGCTCAACCTCGCACTTCAGGATACTATGACACAGATTGAACCACTGCAAAACGCTTTGGGGACTATCCAGGCTCTGCACAACTTTTTAGATGCGAGTCCCAAACGACACGCCCTGTTTAGTGACACAGAAGTACAAGGCGAGGATCTGAAACTGACGCTGAAGTCATTGAGTGCCATGCGATGGTCATGCCGGTGGGAAGCCGTAAAAGCCGTATACGGGCAAATAGAACGTATTGTAAAAGCCCTGCTCACGCTGTCTGCAGACAAAGATCCGAAAACCTACTCTGAGAGCAGAGCCTTGTTGACCGCCATTTGTGACTTGGAGTTTATCTTCGGACTGTGTTTGCTGAAAGTAATCCTGAGCAACACCAGTAGTTTGTGTCGATATCTTCAGGGGAAGACGGTTGACGTCATCTCCGCTCGTAGAAATGCCGACATGACCATTCAGACCCTACGCCAGTGTCGGAATGAAGAAAGTTTCAACAGCGTATGGCAGTTAGCATCAGCAATGGGTCTGAAAATTAAGAAGTGGCTGACCAATTCTGAGTTTGAATTACGAGAGGCCAGGGCACCCAGACAGACGCCATCGCTCCGCCTTCAAGCCCTTGTAGATGAACGACAAACGCAGCTGACACCGGAATCGCACCACTGTATTAACACCTACTATGCTTCCATCGACAAGGTGCTGTCCGTGCTTGAGCTCAGGTTTAGCAGAAATGACCAGGATATCCTCTTTGCTTTGGGAAATATCTGCCACAGTGAAACACCTGATAAAGAAAGCTTCTCCCGCATTGCTAAGTTTTACAACATCGACGGCGAGATTCTGGAAGCCGAGCAGAAAATGTACGCGAGTTTTCGTCATGTGCGCGGATTGGGCTACACGACTGTTTCAGAAATGCTAGAGACAATGCGTGAGAATGATCTATTCGATAGGTTTCCAGAGTTTTCCAGTGTGGCGCATATCCTTGCAGTGATACCTGCTACATCGTGTTCAGCAGAGCGATCATTCAGTGCGTTGCGCAGATTGAAAACTTACCTCCGCAGCACCATGGGGCAACAACGTGTCAGTAACATTGCACTTATCAACATTGAAAGGGCGTATGCCAACTCTGTAGTCAACAATGACATGGATCGTATCATTGATATCTTCGGTCGTCGAAATGGCAGAGACAGTTATTTCTTTTAAGTTTTAGTGTTTTTTGAGCTCATATGATAGATTCATAGGTAAGAATATTTTCACTTCATATGTAGGCCATTGTTAGTGCATCGTATGACCCTCGTTTCCTTCCAACTGTTTCGTAAAAATTTGGGCAACTTGTGAGAATTTTTTGGGCAAATGGTTCACTGCCCCCCCTGGCAAAAAAATGCCCGTACGCCTATGTGTTCAGTGAAATTCGGCCCAATCGTGGCTCACAAAAATACGCAAGTCATTTCATATGACAAGTAGAAAACAAACTTTTCAAGGCGAGTGTATTATGAATGAACAACAGCCGAATTCACTAAGAAATGAAGATCGCTCGGAATGACAGCGCCGTAAAACTCGGTTGCAGTGAATGATCTGCCCTTCCACTCAACGCATCGGAAATGAAATCAGGACAAGCTCTTATTTTTTCACTCGAAGGGTGGTCGATTTAGTTCCTGAGGCTTGCTCCACTGCGATGACCGAAGATCGCCATGATTAGCTAGCCGCGATAGACCTTAAGTCGCTCTGACACCGTCATGATTAGTATGAATTTTAACAGTTATGCCAGGTTATATTTTTCATCATTCCTGTATTTTTCTGTTTGAAATCGAAACTTTATATATTATACAAGTGTTAGCTGTGTTTGATTTTTATTACCGTACGTAAACTCGCAATCTAACTGAGCGTGAAAACCGTTAAAAAACTCGGACTGTCTATCTTGTTTCATGTTTGAGGATTTTTGTCTCTGCTCACGTTACAGTGACGTAAATTACTGCGTCTGGCATTTTTGCAAACCTTGCTCGCTTGTTCCGAAATTTCACTTTCAATTAACGAAAGAAAAGCTAGAAAGAAGTCCCAGAAAAGGTCGGACATAGTACGATTTGGCAGATGGCGTGACAGCTTTAGCTCAGTTCTATGCTCTATACTCTCATAGAGCACGCTCTTTCAACCAAGGACAGTACGTGTTATATCCGAGCTTTATTATAATGATAATTTAGTTCTGATCAAGCCACATCGCGCCACTCCCAACGTCAGACCCTCTAACAGTTAAGAGCAAGTTGCATTTTGAGACCTTGTTAATCGTCCTGACAGCCGTCCGCATATTCTCTCGTAAAGCGAAAGCGAACCTATTGAGCGACACAAGACACAACGAGTTTCTATCGGGAATACTAAAAGATAATTGGGAGTTTTCGCCAACGCATTATTGATTTAGTTGATATCAACGACTTGGTCACCAAATTCGGGCTCGGTTCAATGGAACTCCAGCTGTATTTGTTGTCGCACCAGTAATAATCGTGCCACCTTGTAATGCTTGCCGCATTTTGAAATAACATTTGTCTTACTCTGTTATAACACTTGCCGTGCCTTGAAATGACACTTACCGCACTTTGTAATCCAAAAGCTGTCACACCATTTTAACAAGAAACCATTATAAAGTGCGACAGTTTTTTTTATGACCAAGAGCGACGGGACCTGGTCTTAAAAAGTGAAAAAATTTTATTACATTTTGCGACAGAACACTATACCGGCTAATGAAAATACCTAATGGGAATACTGAAAATTACACAAAAGCTACCCAACAACATCTTGACTCGGATAACTGTAACTGTTGCCTAGAGACGGTGAGAGAAAGTGAAACGGTGAAACGCATTCTTAGCCTGTAGAGCAGACGTAATTTTGGCGAGCGAGTGCTCAGTAATTTCATAACGAATATTATGGCCGCCATTTTTTATTTTAATGGCAGCGGAAGGCTGTGGAGAGAAATAAATTTGTACCAAGGGGGCGGTCGACGATCAAAAGTAAGGGGAGGGATGGGGGTCGGGGAGTGAAATAACAATAAGACGCTTGCATTGCAGGCTAACGCATTTTGAAATATTTACCTCTAGCACCAAAAATTAGAGCCTCCAAGACGAGAATCGAAACTAAGACCTCCGTATTTTACGCACTGAGCCACAAAGACTCTACAGAGAGCTAAGTTGCTACTGTGTTGATATATGGCAAGCGTTCTGCATACTGCGATAATGATAATGTAGTTTGCACCTTTAATAAGGGTAACCAAGGTGTTACTTTGGAACTAACAACAGATTATCACACATTCACGTCACTCCTTCAGAGAAAGATTGAATGAGTCTGAAAATAATTTGACTCATATTAGAAAACTGAAAAGGTCAACATTGATTTTACCTGACAAGAATGATATTCCTTATAATGGCCAACCGTTAAAATCGCTAAAATTTAATTGAACTTTTAACCGTGAAAGGGCTGAAAGAAAGATATTTATATAAAAGAAATATAAATTGAAAGCTGAGGAGTTTCTAAAAGCTTATCGAGAGATTATAAATAGTATGCAACCTCTCGCCTAATTGAGCAAAGGAAAATTATAATGACAGCAAATGGAGTTAACTGATGCTTTCTGAGAACATAATACAGAAAAACGATAAAACGACCGTAAAAAATGATTATTTTTCAATTTTTATCCGCATGGCATCTTGATTGTCGTATCAACAATTTTGAATGACCTGGGGAAAACTAAGCTTTTCTAAATTTTTTAAACTGTCTAGCCTCAGTCCGTAAATCTTTGATCAAAATGTCAATATTATGCATAATATATTATTCAAGAAAACGACTTGAGACTATTAACACCATCAATACATGTTTAGTTGAACCAGTTTTAACCGTATAAAAATCAGCTGAAGAAAACTGAAAGATTGAATTTTGAATAGGCCTCAAGTAATCACGAATTTGTGTTGTTATTGGAAAAAATCGAGAAACAAAAATTTAAGCAACTTCTCTCAATATAACAAATTCAAACTGCGTTTTTCAGAACTGCTTTAAAACGTGTTATTATCTTTGGTGTCAATCTAGTATCACGGTTTTACACTCATTAGTGATCAAGTGAACTGCCTTATGCGGGAAAAAGCCATTTACCACTTTACTGACGCTAAGCACTTCCTGGCGATGCCGTAGAACAGCGAAAGCTTGAAATTAAAAAAAAAAATGAGTGTAACTGTCGCTAAACACCACAATCGAACCGTCCGTTTAACCCACATATTTCTGAAAGATAACTCAAAGGTTTACTTTCGGTGTTATTGTAAACAGGAACAAAATTCAATTTTCAACGTGAAATTTATACATTGCTCTCTGATCGTGCTCTCTGTGGAATAGAAAAAAACTGTTATAATAAAAAGTCATTTGGTTCTGAAGTATTTTGAAGGATCCCAATTTCATCGCTGATATCACGTTTGTTTTCTCTGTTGTTTGAAATTTGTTAGGGGTCGCTCAACATGACAACTGAAACAGCCATAAGAAATAAGAAATTTGGCCATGAATCCAAGGTGCAAAACATTTTGTCATGACAGTTAGTGACTTTCACAGTCATTAGTAAGTGACGTGAAATGGCCCCTTGCGTGGGAAAGTGTGATTGATTTTCACTGACACAACACCTACACTTTTAGTTGAACTAATGGTGATGTAAGTAAATAAAATCCGAAAACCGAGTTTACATTTGTGATGCTCGATCAATTGCTTAATAGGGGAAGTTGAAAGAGCAGTTTTTTTAAGTTTCTGAAGATAGTAACCGCAGAGGTGTTCATTTACTACCTGGTTTGGATTTTGCTTCGTTTCGGTGACGCTCGTAATTACGTCAAGAAAGTTAATCAGCTGCAGTTCAACAGCTGTTGGGTCAGGAAACATTTATTACCTTACTTTAAATAATAAGTCTGTCTTTTGTTTGTTTTATCAACTCTGCTGCGGCGAAAATTCGCTTCTAGCTGAGGAGAAAACAGTAGGGCAAGACTTAAGAATTGCTTTTCTCCTTCATGATCGCTTAGAAGGTAAGTCACTTGGATATTAATCATAGAGCGTACATGTAAAAGTAAACTTGAATTTATTAAATACGTTAATGTCTTCTTCGATTTAAGAAGTGCTACGTTTTAATTAAAACCGGTTCATTCGAGTAGAAGCAGCTTTGAAACTAGCAATTTCCTCAGTTCCAATAGAAGAAACTAAACAACATATGTCTATCGATATTATTGTTGTTGATTTTGAATTTCTACACCGTTAAAGGCACATTAGAACTGCTCGAAAGAAAGATGAAGTACAGAGGTTTTATAGAATTGTCATCTTCTCTCCTGCTGTTATGTTTTACGTATTGACGACAAATTATAAAGCGCGGAAAACAGCCTGCATTAATTCGTGTGGAATAAGTAACAGCTTTGTCCAGGCCAGTTCTTAATCCTTATTTGCCAGAGATACACTTTAGCATTCTGTTCGTGACCAAAAAATTAAATTCTGGGTAAACAGAGTTTTATTTTTAGGACAAAGTAAAGTCCTCCATTATTTTCTTCAGCGTTGCTTTTAATCAAAATATTTTTTCTTTTTTTTATTGTCATTTTTTTTATTTTCTGTGTTTGTTCGTTTGCTTGCTAATTTATTATTCTCTCTCTCCCTTTTTTTTCCCCTTTTTACTGTTGTAATTTGTTTGGAGCTACGCCTTTTTGGCAAGGGAATCCACCTGGAGTGTTTGACTGTTAATACTTTCCGTTATGTAAATCTATTTCTCTTACCTTTATTTCACCTCAGTTATAGATGAATAAAGACCAAACAGTGATATCGAACGGGCCTTTGCTTTCTCAAAAATTTGGAAAAGTGCTCTTCAAGTCTGCAAACACTGCTTTTTGCAAACCCGGTGCTTTTGGCTTTGCTTTTGCCACATTGATAAATTATCTTTGCTTCTGGAGAAAATCAAGTGCGTTTAAAATCTCGAGCACTGTCTGAATCAAAGTAAAATTTCCAATGAAACCATGATTAAAAACAAAATGAATTAAAGAATAAAATATTCCCCTTAGCGTTTGGGTTGAAATAAAAGGTATTTGAATTTATAATTATCATTAAAACGATTTTGCAGACGTTATAATATGATGTACCCTACAGATTTACAAAATGGCAGGCTTAAATTTCCACGTGTCAGATTTTATTTAAACTTCTTCATGTAAATGACATATTGCTTGCGCGTCTTTTCGAATAAATACGATCTTTTAGCCGATTTTTGCCTCTCTAATTCAAATGAAGTAATTGTTGGGTTACATCATTTCTCTACATTTTCTGAACTTCTTCTGAATTCCTTGTAACAGCCAAGCATCTTTGCAGTCAAACACAAGTCGGTTTTAGTCCCTGGTGCTCTTGCAATCTTGCTCTAGAAAACAGTTAAAGTAAAATAAAATTTATCTTTTTCAAAGAAAAGAGCACCGAAAATTCGTAAGGCCCGATCTCTTCATTTTCGATATTTTGCAATAAATGCATACAGATTCATGTGGAAACAAAGAATAATGTCAGTACGGGTACAGAACAATACAATGAATTAATAAACAGTTACGTTTAATTTTTATAAACTTATAAAAATTAATTGCATAATTTGATAAATACTTTAGTTTCAGGGGACGGATTGAAAATTATGAAAGTTTGGAATCTTGCATGGTCTTAAGGAAATTAATGCAATGGTAAACCAAAGCATCTTTTTTGCCAGATGACCGAAATATGAATTAATCAAATAAGTGATTTCTATTTCCAATGTCATTGCCAAGCCGAGCTACCTCAATAAAGAATGTCTACAAATAATAGGAACTAGGGAGCCCACCCGTTCTTAAGTCATTTCTGGAGCTACTGATAAGCTCTAGTTGAACAATGGTAGATTTTTTTCTCAATGTAAGATGCCTTTTGACACTTTTTTACTTCTCTTGTTAACATGCCTCAACCTGTCTCAGCCTTTGCCATCAATTGCCATAACGAGCGCTGAGTCGCGAATAATTTTCTCGCACATTTTTTGTCTTAAAATTCAGAGTTATTCAAAAGTAATATTATTCTTTTGTTTAAAAAGCTTTGCCGATGTGCTGTAAAATAGTGAGGGCAATCCTTGCATTGCCGAAAAATGAAGTCAGAACAATGGAAAACTGTGCTAGATCTGCGTTCACTTCTACATTTAACGAGCAAGTAACTAAAATATAGCGGATAAAACGCTGGCTTTTACATGTTGAGGGAGATATGCCGACTGCTGTTTTAAGTTACCTAATTGCAAAGCTAAGGGGACTTATTCCAAGTGGCCAAAACAGGTTACATTTAATTTGCAATGATAGCGAAGCTATTTTGAGACAGGTTACATAGAACTTACTTTCGCCCAAATTTCAGTTTTCTTCCTCCTACCCGTGTTCTCGCCACCGCTCCCATGAGTCCACGGAGCGGTGTATCCGTTAACTTCTGTAGTTGTCCAAAGAATAATCAAGGCACACAAGAGCACTGGAAAGATCTTGATTTCCATTCTCGTAGCCGACTTTATTATTTCTCTTTCAACAGTAGGAACTCTTTTTTAGAATGGGTGGTTTTCCACTCGACGGGAAATTGGTTTTAGTTGTCACTTACGCAAGGGGATATCTTTACTGAGACGTGACATAAACTGGCTATTTGTTTTGTTTGCTTAAGGATTTATTGGTTTTATGAAGTTTGCTAATCCTTTTGACTAATAAAACTCTTTCGAAACTGACGAGGACAGTTCATCCTTATCGATTCTTTCCGGTTTTGCATTCTGTATTATAGAAAATTATTTTATGATGTCTAAGACCAAGATTATTTCATTTATCAGTTTGACGCAGTTAGTTTCTACAGATGTTTTACCTGCTAAAGAAGATTCATTATTGTTTGTTTTAAATGGCTTAGGTTAAGCAGGTGTCCGTGTTGGTTATTTGAACAACAAATTAAGCGAGCTCCAAAAAAACATCAGCGTTATGAAAGTGTATTTTAAGTTTAACTGGCCTTAGTTATCTTGATCTGCCTTCGGGTGGAGATACCTCAGTTACATGCCGTGAACGTCTAAAGTGCCGCAGTGTATTAAAGTTTCACAAGGACTTAATTTATCTGCCCTGTCAAACCTAGAACGTACTGTAATATCATTTGTCTGAAAAAAACAGGAAATTACGCATCCTGACAGTTAAATTCAATGTAAATAATTTGTATAATTAAAAGACGCGAGAGTCGGTATTTTTACACTGTGTGTTTCCTCACCTGCTCAATCGTGTTATTTCATCTGTTACAAAAATTGTTTTTATTTGTCAACGCGAAAAAAGTGTTCCGTTTGCTTGAAATTTCATTATCGTTGGTGCATGGTTGGCTACTTAATGGAAAATATGACCTTTTATTTGCTTTCACGTTACAGTTTGAAAGCTACGCGAAAGTAAGCAGATTTATTTAAGCATGAATGAGTGGGTGTCAGTTTCATGTTTTCATTATTTGAAGAGGAAATGAATTTGACCTCTGCGGAAAATAGACCTCAGGCAATCTGAAACAAAAATGAATGTGCGCCATAATCAAAACCACCGTTGTGCTTGGAAAGAACACACGTTTCATGTGTTAGGGGCAATTTTGAACTACTAAGGATGGAACCTCAAAAGTTTCTTTTGTATTCTGGCTTACCGAAAACCAGCTACCACTACTACCATTTAGGAGTTGCAGATGAAGATGGAAAAGTAAATTTGTGCAACTTGTGTCATGATTTTCCTTATTTAAATTATTGCAACTCCATCGCTTCTTTGGAAATCCTTGCGAATTCTATCCCGACAGGTAATCGTGAGTTACCCGGGGTTATTTTTTTTCTCAGTCCAGTTATTCTGCCATTTGATAGAGACAATATTCCGTTTCAATTGGCTTCTCAACCAAAACGTTTCCAATTTGTACTCAGAGCCGACGACAAAACCTCTTCTCATAGGTGAAGGCGAATTATTTATTTTATCCTTGGATAAATCATCCTTGGATTCCAGACCTGATTTATGGATAGTTTCACACCTGCTTATCTCAAAGGGAACTTTAAAGCGAATTGAATGCTCGAAGAGTCCCACTGACACATCATTTCATGATTTTCTCTGACAGGGCATGCCATGATTGGCATACAAGGTCGTATATCACAGCCTGTATTTTGCTCTACCGCTCACAATTCAGCACTAAAACACATCAAAATTAGAAATAATTGCCGATTTCCCGAAACCTTCTGAATCTGGCTCGCTAATAATCACCCCCAAACTATCTGCATTCATGCGGACACTAATTTCGGCGAATTAATCCGAAGAATGATCGACAATTTTATGACGACACGACCAATCCTGGCAAATTGTACGTAAATGGGGTGTAAAAGATTAATCAAGATTTAGAAGCAGCTGAGTTATGGATCATGAAATAAGGTTGATTGACAAATCAGTTAGGTTAACATCATAATCTTATCTTGTCTTCAGATATCTATGTTATGCAGGTGATGATAATTATGAATTTTTCAAGCGGTTCTGAAGTGAATCATACGTATCAAATCAGTCTAGAGATATTTTCTATCGATTGCTGTAATACCGTTACACCAAGAGAATATCAACAGTTGATATTCTATTGGTTACTTTAAAGCATGTTGGTTTATTTCTTCCACATCCATCGTAGCCAATTTTTTTTTTTTTTTTTTAACCTACATCGACGCGTACTGACTAATCGTTCCAATTATACCCTGAGTTTCATGATGCACCTTTACACGTGTTACGGAAACAAATCCTCCCACCGGGAGCCTCGTTAACCTTGATTATCGTTTGGATGCATTTTTTAATCCATGTATTTCATCACTGGAAGCAAAGTTTTACTCAAGCTTTTCCTTTTATCTCTTCACCTATCCAAAGATCTGATCAGCACCTCCTCCTTAGTGAAACAATTTTGTGGTGTATCAAGATAAGTCTTCCGAGCTGATAAGTTCGCACTATTCGGCAATGAAATTTCCAGAGGTAAATTTTTAGTCTTCGTTGTTTCCCAAAAGCAAATGCTACGCTCTAACCGCAAAAGATTGACAGTTACCTCAACTCCATCTTGCCTTCATGAAACCTGTTGTCAACTTTCTAAGGAAGCCCACCTCTCAAGAAAACATTTGCAGGCAATCGGGGTGTAAAATTTGACAGACCGAAAATTTTACGTTTGCTTTTTAGTAAAAGTTCCATAAAAAAGGCAATTCAATTCTAGAGTCGAATTTTGGACCTGGCCTTTCAGCAGTGGCAAGTACAGTGCACTTGCGTGCGAGTTTCCAGTTGAGTGGTCTCATAAAGTCATGCGGTCTGCCGCTGAGGCAATAGGAGGTTCATAATTGTACATGTGCACTAATCTTTCCAAAGCTTCCGCCAGATCGAAATCAGCGGAACTAAGCCGCTGTGTTTTTTCTCGAACTCTAAGCAGGACATCTTCATTTCAGACCAGCTCATCTAGCCTCTGAATTAAGGAAGTAAGTTTCTAAAGAAACTGTGGTGCTGCGTCGGTGGGAGGATTATCAAGTCAGTTGATAATAGTTAATTACCTGGTTAGCCTCTAAATTAATAGTCTCGTGTTTCTTGGCTAAGGATAACCAAGTGTTTTCAATTCAATGACTTACACTCAGAATGACTCGCGACGCCTTAAGTCAGAAAACTTTGGTTTTTGGAAGCGGAGCAGCTTTTACCACAAGTAAAAATGAACTGGTGAAATACGATTTAAGATTAGTTGGCAGATTTTTTGTTAACTGGAAATATTTCCACACGGGGCATTTGTAAGATCAGAGGAAAGATTTTTCACGAAAGCTTCTCTAGTATCATAGCTACCAAAACTAATTCAGGAGCAGCAGTTGACACTGGGGAAACAGATAAATTAACGAGATAAGTTACTATCCAATCATATTAGTCCAATGACGTCAACAGCAAATACACCTTTGCACGAGGAACAACAAAATGCAAGATAACGATTAAAGGGTGAATGAACCAGGTTGATGAGCAGGGGCATGATTGTTAGGCTCATCGATGCAGCAAAAGAATTAATTCGTTAATGCAGCGAATTACAGGTTAGAAAGATCAAAACGGGTCTTGATCAAATGTCATATTTGGTGAAAACTATTACAACCTTAATATGATGTAAATGAGAGTTAACATGGGGAGAGGATGTAAACCAATTAAGCTATTCGTAAAGCCTCAGATCTGTATGGCTGATACAATTATTTCTTTTTGTCAGCTGCTTTTCCGGCACAAGTGAGAGCAGTGGACATGATATATGCATGGTTGGCTTCAATTTGGTGGCTTTGTGCTGGTAAGTGCTTAGGGGGTAAAGTGACTGTTCACAGCTGTTACTGTTTTATGATAGACTGTTCGCGAAAGAGGGTGATACTTGAACTCGACTCTGGAATAGTAGTCATTGTTATACCTACTGAGATGTGAAGAAACCGCTAAGGAGACGCTTTTATAGTAGTTAAAGGAAAAGCGACTATAACAATTATTATCGGGAAGATTTTCCGACAAACAGCGTATTAATTCAAATGGCGTGGCTTAGAAAAACGAATGTGAGAAAACAACTTTGATTTGAGATTGTTTGTGTCATCTAGTTGAAACTTCAAAGACTGATAGAGAAGCCTTTGAGGTAAAAAAAGGTTTTCCGAGTTGAAGATCCATTGTTTAAGTGATATATTTTTTTGCCGCTATTTTAACATGCACTATCAGTGTTGAGCAAGGCAGCTTACTGTTGTTTGTTTAGTTGTAAGATCTTTTACATTTAGTTTTTTTTGGAATCCGAGCAGTCTGAAAAAAGTGCTTTTCTTGAGGACTTTTCGCATATAAAAACATTCCATAATTGAAGTCTCAAGTTGTTTTGAGGGGTAAATTGGTTTCCCGGCATCTGTCATGTAATTTCGTTTTAAGTGCCTTGCAATCCACGATCTGTCAACAGCTTACAAATCATGTTATATGGAATCGATTGATTCAACAGCAAGGCAGTCTGTTTGTAACATCAACAGCAAAGAGTAACTCTGCACTATCCCCTTTTTTTAATTTTTGTACCATTAAGCATGATTGAAAGGTATTTACCGTCTCAAGCGAGGTCTGAAAAATTTACCCTCAGAGGGTCTTGCTGAATGATAACAAAAGCGTAAAGGTCATATCTTAAATCTACTAGTGTGAACTCTCGAATTATCTGTATTACACAGACGCGTCATTAAGTGACTTAGAGTTTAACTTCTTCGAGGTGACTCGTGCATATTTTGAAAAGGGATTGTTTTGAACACTGAGCTTGAGGCTATATATATTTTATTTCTCCTCCATTTTCTCTTTTGCATATTAATACTGATATGTCGACCTTCAGAGAGAGGGCATTAGTCAGCATGGAAAGGTTGATGTTGAGTTCTTTAACTTGATATTTCGATAATTTTTAATCAGCAAGATACAGGCATAACTCTCATTACTTGCACAATGTTAGATAACCACATGATGTAAACAAACTACACTGCTTTAATAATCGGCAATTATACCGATCACGGAAGACGATTCTCGACACAAAGTGGAAATAACATTAGCACTTCACTCCTAGAGGGAAAAAATGTGTTTTGACGCGTGCCTCAATTTGACAACCTGTCGGTGAAATGTATCCAGAGAAAATTGGTTCAAAGGAAACTGATACAATTTGCTAACATTGACCATGGGTGAAGATTGCCAGTGGCTCTCACCTCATTTTAGCTTCCTGGTATCAATATCTGCCTCGCATGTCTTGTTTTTGAGAACTTGGATGGAAATCGAGGACTTAAAGCAAGAGCTGGTAGTAGACATTGCCACGATAAATCGATTTCATTTACTCAATGTTCGCTCTTAGAGGGACACCAGGTTGACAATGGATGAATTGATTAATTTTTCGTCTTTTTATCTTTTAAGTATGAGATCACCTTCATGGTTTGCGTCTTTTTTATCACATCGTGTAGGGAACTTTTTTGGCAACCCCGCAAGGAAACTTTAATATCATATCTAGCGTGGAACAGGAACATAACAGGGTTCTTTTTACATGGTAAAGTTTGATAAGATTAGCTTTTAAGGACGTTACTTTAAAAGACGGCTATTGTGTCTTAACTTACGATAGCAATTTCAGTTAAGGCAATTACTGTTCCCTGAGCCCCTTAGCGGTTTTACGAGGTACGAGAGCTGAGAGAATTGAGTGTTCTGGTCATTTTAGTATATTTGGAACATATTCACACCCGGGTATTACGTTTGTCGCGAGTATTATAAACACTTTGTAATTCTTACTGGCACTGTCTAATCCTTAGTGACAATCTTTAAATATTGCTGCTCGGCCCCCCTTAAGCGGTCAAAATTGTAAACAATTTGTGTCATTCACTGTAAAGTAAAAGTTGATAGGTTTCAATTCAACCCTTGGACAATATAGTGAAATAAAAAATTTCCTCGGGGGGGTGGGTGGGGGGTCCAGTAGACCACTGTTGTCCTTGAACCTTTAAACCGGCTTTTAAAAAAGCCGGTTTAAAGGTTTCATGTCTTCAAACGGGTGCTCGCTTCGAGGCCGCTCAACTGCATTAGTGATGTTTGTTTTTCCGATACAGTTCTCCTTCGTCTATGGTTTTTAAACGACAAAACTTGGTGGAAAATACTGGAGAGTAGAAAGTTACAATTTTCACTACGCAATACCCTTGTTCCCTTTGCTTAGTATACTAATAAAAGCAGCTTGTCAAACCGATATGACAAGCAAACGAGGTTCTCGGTTGCGGAACTGCAAAATCAAAAGTGACATTATTGATTTGTGGTTTTCCCCATTTCCATATTACAGGGGAGGTAAACGAATATTAAAATGGTGTGTTTTGCAGAACGGTGCAATTAAAATATCGTTGACTTGTTTATAGATTTTGCCGCACATAAAAAAGAGTAGGTGTAGAAGAAAAAAGATGTTAGCACACTTCTACTTTAAGGATCGATATTTGCCACTAGACTAGAATTACTACTCAGTAAGTGTACTAAGTGAGTGCGGAGTTTTTTCGCCTGATTTTATATTATTGATGTCCGTATTAATTCGAGCAAAGAACTTAATCCTGTTAAGTGGTCGATTGTTCTGCCATAAATATCTAATCCAAGAACGGATAGTTCGCAGGCAATTTAATCGAAAAAATTAACTCAATTTTGCACACCGTCGGCCCATTCAAAAGAACAAAAGCACGGTGAGTTGTTTCCAATAGCTTTTAATCAAATGCACGAATGTTTTTCAACAAACCGCTTTCTTTAAGCGCGATAGGGTAAATATGACTTTGTGGTTAATCTACGCGCACACGCTTAAAAGAGTTGTGTGTGTAAGGGTCTCCAAAGAAAGAAAATTTTGTTCGTTTAAAATATTCGAAGGAACTAAGGTGAGTCTTTTAGTACATAAGTACATTCTTCTCAGGTCTACTTTGCATCACAAAACGACTTATGTAAGACCTTTGAAATATCCGTTTATTTACAATAGATAACAATACCACGATGATTTTAAGAATTCAGTTACATTCTAGTAAGGTCAACTGTTTGCGAGAAACAGCTTCCGTTTTTTCGAACATATTTCCCCCAGAATTTACTACAAATAACGTTTGGGGAATGATAAGTATGATTCTGTGATGATTATTTTACGTAAATGCAGAGAGAGAAGCTCGACTTGGAATTTGGCGTGAGGGAAACCAAGGTTTCATTCCGTGACTTTGACAGCGAACTCGAACAGCGAACGGCAAAAGGAGCCTTCAATTCTGCATAATCTGCTTGAGCCCTGAAGTGCAAATATTTGTATTTGCTCTGAGTAGGAGGTTTTGTCTAAATTTCCGTCGAATTGATTCTGCCAGATTTAGGTAAAAGAAAAATAGATAAAAAGTTAATTTGTTTTCTTTCCATTGCTGGGACTCTCGCTCACGGCAAGGTTGCCGGTCAGAGAGCTTCTATTGAAATATGTGTCTAGGGACCTTTCTTTTCCTAGCAGCTTTTATTTTTCCATATTGAGATATTTATCATATTCAAATTATGAGAGGGTAGACTCTTTTTGAGATGATCCAAACTATTAAAAGTAAGTCCATGATAAGATAATTGTACACAATTTAATTCATCGAGGGAACATTATGATTTTTCCTTCAAGAAGGTTTTTAGTCATATTCAGTCTTCACATCCTCGTAAATACACTGTAAGACTATAAATAGAAACTATAAATGAATCCGATGAATAATAGAGAGGATGTTTATAATTTTGTCCAATTATACCGATATACATTATTAAACAGTAATGTCCACTTTCTATTTTTGCCATCATTTAGATACCCATTTTGATATGTTACTACGTTTCAACGTGCAATAATTTTTAGCGATAAAATGATATTATTTTTTGAATGAAATAATTAAGGCAATAAGATGCGTCATTTATTTATACAACCATTTCTACATCAATGTCTCGTTGTAAGATGCGGTAATTCACATTACATTCCGTCGTCTTCGATAAGATTCTTGATTCATGATTTCGTTCATACCTTAGGCAGTTCTTTATGAAATATTTTTATGTGAAACTGTGCCAGACCAGACCGAACTGTTTCATGAATTTCTATTTCCATTCTTGAATAAATATACTAAGGCCTCATAAGTTTTTTTTTCTCAGTGGAGCGTTGTTTCTTATTGGTATTCCAAGTCATTCACTGTCGGTGAACTATGACAAACTTCTACACAATAAATCTCTTCCGTATCAGAAGTGGAACAGTAGGCTAATACATATTAAAACTGAATTAATCGTTAAAGGGGCTCGATCAAAGTAAAATCAACTCGATCCTCCTTTAGTTTTGCCAATGTCAATGTGACGCAGTAGTGCTGTTCTCTTTTCCAACCTGTAAAAAATAGGATGATTAAAATTATCATCCCTTGATTGCGGAAATAAATTGGGTTCAGTCAGCGAGCTTTAAAATTAACTGACGCTACTATACAAATTCGGGAATTCAAACTCAATCCAAGATGCGTAGCCAAGAACTTTCGTTGCAGGGTCTTGTTCATTTTGACATATTTCTTTGCAGTAAGGGTATATATAATGAAAATTGTGGCTTTATTGTGTCTTATGAAATCGAATGTGTGTGTCAACTTCTTAAAAGTTCAACCGTTTAGGAGTTTTAAAGGACTTAAAAGACTATCGAAATCGACATCGCGCAGAATGCACGATGTCGAGAGAGAGAGAGAGAGAGAGAGCAATGATGCCAGCGAAAATCAAAATGAGAATTTTAACTCCTGATTGTTTTTCATTAGTTCTGTGAATATTGACCTCTTATTTACTGCA